GGATTAATGCCTCCACAAGTGAGAGCCTCATGGTCTAAATATCCCTGGAAATGCTTCAAAGACATGGCCATCGATGTGTTTCGCTAATCTCTTAGGTGCTTCTCAGTCCAATCAAGTTGATAATTAAAGTTGAGCATCACAGTGGTGTATGAGCTGATGTGGCCTCATTCGATTTGAATGATATGGTACATTCTATGAAATATGTTGTTCATTACAGTACTTCAGCAATAGGTTCTCTTGGACACCAGTGTGCCTAGTTATTTCTATCTTGAGAAAAATTACAATCTTTTATTCATGAGTTAAATACCACTTTTTAAAGGTTTCAGGATTCCCAAGATGCCAAATAATAGTAGTGGTGTTGGAACATCAAAACATGTTCTCAGCTGTAGTCGTTCTTTAACCTTAGGAGGGCTGATTCTCCCATCATGTGCTTGATTATCAGAATAACACATTTAAAGTGTGACCCTGACAAGGCGGAAACAACACATATATGCATTTATTTCTCAATATAGTGTTCTTTGTTAAAAATCTTGTACTTGAAAATAAAGCAAAGAAACAACCGAGTCTCCCTGAGCATCAGAAAGGTCTCAGAGAGCAAGACACCCTTGAATTACAGAAGCCAGTGAGACATATGTCCTAAGAGGGAGCTTGCATGGGAGACACAGATTGGGCACTCACACAGCCCCTTACCATCACTTTCAGGGTTAGGGTTAGATCCATTCCTATGCTCCCTCCACCCTCAACTCACTGGCATAGTCTTCAAGTCTCCTGACAGAGAAAGGTCAGGGAGGAGGTGGAAATGACAATGCCCGGCAAGGACTGGCACTCTCCAGGCATCTGCTAACAGAAGGTAATCATGAGGGAAGAGACAGCCTTTAAGATGGGAGCTACAAGCATGCTGGTGTCTGGGCAGTTGGCGTGAACATAAAAATGAGGACTTCAGCTTCTGGACCCTTTGGAGGAAGCAATTATCTCCCTCTGCTATGACCTAGCCTGGCACGGGTTTCCTGAAGAAGGAACAGTCTGCACACTGGGATGGCCTCTGGCACTTCACAGCTAACTGGACAGGGAAGGGTGGCAGATAGTTTATCAGGGTTAAGACAGCTTCCTGTGTTTTCTTAAAGAAACTAATGCCTCCAAGAACAGACTAATGATATGCTGGCCAGCTGTCGTTAAGAATAATGATAAGGGCTGGAGATATGTCTCTGGGTAAAAGTGCTTGCTGTGCAAATCTGATGACCTGATTTTAGATCTCTAGATCCCACGTAAAAAACCAAATCAGTATCAAGCATCGTAACCCCAGCACTTGTAGGACAAGACAGAAAGTGAGACAAGGATCCTTACAGAAACTCATGGGCCAGCCAGCCTGGCATGTGTAGTACAGTAATACAAAGAAGAGAAACCTGCCTCAAACAAGGCTGAAGGTGAGAACAGACTCCCAGAGTTTGTTAACACACACACTGAAAAGAAAGAATGAAATTTCATTTCTACCCAGAGAATGGCGATCTGGGAATATTGGAGTTTAATGAGTTAGTATTTTCTGAGCTAATATCTGGTAGTCAGTGCACCACCCAGTAGACATCAAAGTCTAAGTTTATTTGGTTTCTTAGTATCTTTTCTATACAAGATGTCCTTGGTAATTTATGTTAAGCATATTCTGCTTATCTTTCTCTCCCCCATGAAAAATAAAACAATAAGTCACTGGGCATTGGTGGTACAAGTCTTTAATCCCAGCACTCGGGAGGCAGAGGCAGGCGGATCTCTGTGAGTTCGAGGCCAGCCTGGTCTACAGAGTGAGTTCCAGATCAGCCTCCAAAGCCACAGAGAAACCCTGTCTCGAAAAACCAAAAAAATCAAAAAAGAAACAATATGTCATTAATCAGAGGGGTTTGTCAACTAAAATGTGATCTTCTGGGATGTAGGAATAAAGATTCGGGTCAGCTGTGAGCTCCTCCTGCTTCTTTTCTTAAGAAGAGTGGATATCAATACCTATTAAGGGATTCAGGATACATCACCAAGCAGACGTTCTACTCCCATTAGTGTGGGCAGACAATCAGAAAAGGCCTTCCTGCTCTGTTTTTAGAAGAACAAGTGAGTGCTGAAATCTGCGCCAGTTACCATCCTTGTCCATTGATGGCGAGTCTCCCCCGCCTAGAGTCACAGCCTACACACGGCACAGAGAAACTGACTGGAGCTAAAAATGTTTTCTACAAATTAAAGCTAAAACAAACTTGTGTCCCTATATAGACTCCAAATTAATTGGAAAAGAAAAGCACACCAACCCATCTGGACCCTTTCACTGTGAACTTTTTTGTTGTTGTTAACAGAATCTACCCAAAGTAGGCCAAAGTTATTTTGCAGATTAGTTTTCAACCCATCACTTAGTAGGTTATGTAGCTAGGTGGTAGTGGTGCATACCTTTAATCCCAGAACTCAGGAGGCAGAGGCAGGTGGATCTCTGTAAGTTCCAGGCCAGCCTGGTCTACAAAGCTAGTTAGTTCAAGGACAGGCTCCAAAGCTACAGAGAAACCCTGTGTCAAAAAAAGAAAATTTAAAAAAAAAGGAGTGGTTTATTTATTTCATCTTCGCACAGTAGTTTTCCAAAAACTGAGTTTCAGAGTAAGAACTAAACTTGTTCCTCTTCTGAAGGCAAATAGCCCATTATTACTTATAAAGGTTCCTTGGACTTCTGTGTAACTCAGGCTACACAGCCACCCAGTAGCCTGGCTCGTTTTATGCTATTCCAGAGAGGTTGCTTTCTAAAATAGACATTATTGCTTGGGTTTAAATGTCACTGGTCCTATTAAATGATTCCCCTGCCTGATAGCAACTACCTTTCTAGAGCAAAATTCTGTAGGAACACATCAAGTCATATATTAGTAGTTAATTCCATTTCACTAGGTTTTTTATTCTACATATCAGGATTATATAGGAGTTTTAGATTTTATGTACTATTACACATTCATTTTATTTACACTCTTACCATCTCAGTTCATTCTTCTATAACTCATCCTTATATTTTATGTTATAAAACAATTTTGCAAAGAAAGAAAAATTTAAGTTTTCAAGAGAGATGTTCGTATTTCATTTAAATACAAATATAATCAAATTCAGTCTCTATTTACCTGAGTAGTAACTAAATCTAATATACACAGTAATACTGGGTTTATGCCCTTGCAGGTAAATGCTGCAAATAATGACCTTTGTGTCCATCACAATGAGATAACCACAGTTGCTCAGTGGAGTGCGTCCAGTCAAGATGGGGCTGGCAGCCCTCATCTGTAGAGGTATTAGAAGTAGGGCACAGTCAGAGGCAAATGAATTAGGTTCAAAGACATTAATGGAATGTATCAGTGACTAAATCAGGGAACTAAAGTCATAAATTTCATAGACGAAAACACAAGGTTATATCTCCATAACCTTGGGTTCACTGATAGATTCTAAGATGCAACCTCCAAAGTATGAACAACAAAAGAAAAACTAAATAAATATAAAAATGTGAAAGCTTTGTGTGTCTGAGGACTTTATCAGCTGTAGGAAAAGGACTAGAAAATGGGGGAGATGATTGGCAGACCATATATCTGGTAAGGGTGTAGTATCAACTGTGTGAGGAACTCTTTTAATTCAGTAACAAAACAGGTAAATAGCTACATTAAATGATGAACTACTTGAATAGGTATTTGTTCAAAAATGAAAATAGCCAGCTAGGCAGTGGTGGTGCAGCCTTTAATCCTAGCACTCAGGAGGCAGAGGCAGATCTCTGTGAGTTTGAGGCCCGCCTGGTCTACAGAGTGAGTTCCAGGACAGGCTCCAAAGCTACACAGAGAAACCCTGTCTCAAAAAAAAAAAAAAAGCCATCAACTGTGTAGAGAAATGCCTAACATCTTTAGTTTTCAGGTAAATACAAATAAAAGGTACAATGAGATACCACTCTGTACATACAAAGATGACCATAAAAAGAAAATCACCGAAAATAGCAAGTGCTGGCGAGCATGTTGAAAGACTGGTGGCTTTATCCATTTCTGGTAGAAATGAAATTGTTCTGCCACCACGGTTAACAGTTTGCGCTCCTCAAAAAGTTTAGAAAGAGTTTCATAAGACCCTAAATTCCACCTCTGGGTATGTACAGAAAAGGATTTAAAACAGAAACTGTGTATGTCCCGGCATATGCGTGTCAGTAGCAGCACGGCTCACAGATTATAGACACCACACACTTGTCAGCAGGTGCATGCACAAAATATCATCTTATATATCCAATAGTATTCACCCATGAAAACGAACCATAGCACATACCTATAATCCTAGCATTAAGAAGCCTGAAGCAGGAGGTTTATGAGTTCCAGGCCAGCACAGATTGTATAGTGAGACCTTGCCAAAGAGAGGGGAGAAGAAGAAAGGAAAATGGGGGAGTGAGGGGTGGAAGAGATGGCTACTGATACCAGCTCCAACAAGAAGGAACTTCCAGTGCAGCACTCTAACTGGAGAAGCCAGACTCAATGGTTACAGGTTATATATGATTCTATGTATGTGGGATACCAGAACAGGAAAGTCTGAAAACACAGATGGAAATGAGTACGTCACTAGGAGCTGAGGGGACAGGGAAGGGGGTGTGTGGGAGATGCTGCTTGAATAAAGGGTGTAAGGGACTTGATGTTTGAGTGATGGGATGCCACCAACGTAGAGGTGGCAGTCACCCCATACCATGGAAGTACCACAAACCACACAGTTTCTTGTTTCCGAATGTTTATTTTGAATGATGTGAATTATCTCCTCAATGAAGCATAACAAAAATTCAATAATGAAAAATGACTGCAATCATCAGCTGCACTTCCAGAACTTCTTAACAAGCACACCCGTGTAAATGTTTCTCGTGACAATAGCTGGTAGAGTTTTGAGTGGAGGCTTGGTTCTGAACCGTGACTAATAATACCACGTATTCAGTTTTGGTTTGGAAAATGAAAATAAGAGAATTAATTGATATTTCTTGTTTTTTTTTTCAGGACTCCCAACTTGTATCCTCTGGACACAATAATCCAAGTAAGAACGTCCCTCTAAAGCTTTCTGTGGAGATGGGGGAGGGAATGATGAGCAGCGGATTTCAAAGATGTCACCAGGAAACAAAATCAAGGGAGAAAGAGAGAGCGAGCCTTTTTTCAGGCACTGCCTACATGTGTGATACGGTTCTTGATGATCCGAGTGTGGATGTCTAAGGGGGAGGAGGTCAAAGCATAAAGTAGTACATGTCAAAGGAATTCCAGAAGGAAAGAGCATTGGTCCCTACTATATGTGAAGGAAACACATTAAAAGGCAAGTAACGAGATGCCTAAATTAAAAGAAAATGAACAGGCAAAGAAACGCAATCAGAAGACTTCACAATAAATGGCCATAGACTCCATGAAGGAAACTCAGACTTGCTAAGTATGCTGTGCCTTCTTCCAGAAATAGGCAGCTGGGGCTGGACAGCAAGTGGTCCCCTTATTGAATCAGTAGTTGATGAAGTTCATGGGCTCCGTCACCAGAGAGGGAGCATTCTGTGGAGAAGAGTTTTAATCCTCTTCCTGGACCCTACAAATTGGTACTAACGTTGTCTGGGGCATTAAAAATGCATAAGCTGCCCTGCTGTGTCCTAAGAGCAAACTCATAAAGTCAAGGCTTTGTCGGTTTCACGAGCAGCCAGTGAGCTGGGAACAGAACAGCCTTGGCTAGTTACAAAGCTCTGTGGGAAGATAAAAAAAAATCACTGAGCTGGTAGAGGTGCCTGCGGAGGTGAGGCTCATCCACTGGACATCGGCAGGGCAGGAGAGTTTGGAAGAGAAGATGTTCACACAGTGTGCTGGGAAGTGCCATAAAATTCATGGGCAGATAGAGAAAGGTCAACTGGGGGAGTGATGGCACTCTGGCACAGGGCTTTCTGTGGGCACTGGTGAGGCGTCTCTGTAATTCTTCTGTGACAAGTTCTCTGTTTAATCAACTTCTATTTTTTAATATTAGAATATTAAATATGTTACTGTGTGTCCGTGTACGAAAACACATGGTATGTGCCTGCCTTTTATAGGTTGGGAGAACACTTGCTCTGGTGGTGGGTTGATCTTACTTCCTCCTCACCCATTTGGAATCCTCACTCAGTGACTAGGACTCTGTAGGAATGGGACCAAATTAGCAGCAGGTGACATCTGGCGAACAGAAAGATGGGCCCCTGCTGAAAAACAGCCCTGAGCAGTCAAATTATTAACTCAGACAGAAAAAGGAACAACAAAGAGTGTGTGCTGGTGTAGGGACGAGCCCTTGGGAGCCCAGGAGAACAGGCATGGATTGTCATGATGTACAACTGGAATGTTCCACCCGTCACCCTAAATCCCCATCCTAGCTAGTGTGTACATAGGTTTTTTTTTCCATTTGGTTTTCCTTTTTAAAAGAAAAAAAAAACACCAAAATCACAGTAATATTTGCTTAAGAGATGAACAGTTGACTAGCTCTCCTTCTAGAGAGAAACAAAGTAGACTCTTAAGATGGTGTCTGATCTGGAGTGGGCAAAATTCATTGCTGGAAAGGGGGCAGCTTCTCAGTAAGATGACTAACCAAGAATTCTCCCCATGCAAAGTGAGATATCTCCTCCTTTGTTAGGGAGCAAAAGGAGGTTCTGGGCTCCCAGCCCACCTCTTCTCTTGTGAAGTTCCAGCAAACACACCCTCTCCTCTCACAGATCAGCCCCTCACACCCCCACAAGGCATAGGTGTTCTAGAAAATTCCATCAGTGTTCTGATGTGGAAATCAACACCTCACTTGAGTTAGCCAGCCCATTGTGCAAACCTGTGAGCATCCGTAAGAGGCCCGACCCAGAAGGAATCCACATCACTGGAGGTAAGGAAAAGCAGGGGTGCAAGTGTAGACAGTCGGCAGAGAGGCCTGTAATTAATTGTGGGAAGTAAAAGAGACGTGAAAAACAAGTGTTTGCTGATCACGTGACCTTAAGAATTGAAAATATCATCGATAAAGTAAAAAAAATTTAGTAGACTTCCTTAAAGCAATAATTAAAACCCCAAATCTGGCATATACAATTGAAACATTTTTGTTTTTATGATAAAAAGACCAAAGGAGGCTAACATAAACAGAAAACCAGAACAGCAGCATCAAGGTCCAGTTGATAGGAGTGCCAGAAAAAAAGTCAAAAATTAAACAATCCTCAAAACAAATAGCATCCCCAAGAAAATAACCAACATACAATCTGGAAAACACTTTATACAAAAGAAAAAATAGCTATACGCAGGACCAAGTAAAATCAGAATTCTGGTGTTTGAATTATGAAATCCAGAATGTTTGTTAAATTCCAAAAGAGATAGAAGACAAGATGAAAATATAGTAGCGAACAAGAATATTTGAAGAAATTCTAAGACACATTTATATAAATAAGAAATAGAAATTAAATTTCCTTGGTAAAGTTTAATATTACATTTGACATTTTTGGAAAAAAACTAATGAATCAGAAAACTGAACTTAAGAAGTACAAAGAAGACCAAAAGAACATGAAGTCTCAGAGCACAGGGATGAGGCAGGAAAGAATTCCCAAACTAGGTGGGACAGGGCCAGTAGTAAAGGACTTGACCATGAGAATTACCCAAAGGGAAAGCCAGCCCAAAGGTGCATGGTACCCCAGTAACACCGACATGGCAAATGGAAAGAAGCCCACGTATATACCTTACTGCAAGACATGGAGGACGAAAAGCTTCAAAACACCCTTTAATAAATTGTGTTTATAAGAAAGAAAGAAAACCCCTCCAGCTGACCTCAAATAGCAGCAGTGGAAATCAACAGACAGAGGAGTTATAACCTCAGTTAGCTGAGGGAACATAATTATCAATTAAAAATGGAGGGGGCTGGAAAGATAGCTTCACAGTGAAGGGTGGGTTTTTCTCTTGCAGAGGACTAGAGTTCGATCCCAGCTCACAACCACATGTAGTCACAGATCCAAGAGATTTAGCACACTCCTCTGGCTTTCTTGTGAGGCCATACACATATACATAAGTAAATACTACCTTTTTATTTTAAAAACTAGGTGATTGAAGACAAAATTAGATGAAATGAATGTTATTGTAATATATGTTATATTATAATTGACTACTTTTAGAACTTATATGTTTTATATAAAAATTCCATATACATAGCCTAAACCAAAAAAAAAGATGGCACAGTCATTTTGAAAGTGAAATAGTTTTACACAGTGGTAAAACCGTACTGGCTGCTTCTCACCAGGAATTCCACCAGGCACAGGGAGAAATAACTTTGAGCTGGCACCCTCTTTTGGGCAATCCAGTAGGAAGGGCAACCGTTCCCCACTCACCATAACCTTCATGTCAAAACTTGGCAACAATCATACAAGAAAGAAAAGTTGTAACTAATCTTATTAATGATCCCGATGCACTTGCTATTTAAATCTAGCAATGTGTAAAATACATTTCAAAGTATAAGAGGTAAGAAATCCTATTTGTTGTAGTAATTCAAAATCAGATTCTGTTTCAAATACTGATGCAATTCACCATAATAATATGAAAAGAGAAAATGTGTTTAATCCAAGACAATGAGAAAAATAATTGATAAAATTCTATATATGTAATTCAGGGAGAAAAAAAATGTCTTAGCAAGTTAGGAATTGAAGACCAACTCATTTCCATGAACAGTTGCCCATGTCTAAAAAGAAGAACTTTCTGCTGCTTCATGTTAGTGTTTTTCAGACCCTGTAAAGCTTAGGCAAAGGCACCAGTTCAAGGCTGACCTCTCAGGATAGAATCTTGGTCACAGCTGTAAACTAGGGAAAAGGAAGGTGTGGTGTTCCTTAGGGTGAAAATGTCAGAACTCATTTCCCCAAATGATATAATCATACATCAATATCAATACATAGATAGAACACTGAAAAACACCACAGATGAATTAATTAGAATTGTACTCACAATCAGTTGCATTCTTATTAAAAAAGAAAAATCACAGCTAAAAAATCTGACATTGGCATAAAAATATATAACTTATTAAGCAATGAATCTGAAAAGTATATAAGAAAGTGATGGGGAAAATTACAAACTCTCAAGGAATATTACAGATGGCCTAAATGAATGGAGTGATTAATACCAGTTTCAGGCATTAGAACAATGTTGTAAAGATTATCATTCTCTATACATTGAACTGTAGATTCAGTACAATGCCATTCAAACTTCAACTATTTGTAGAGATAGAGAAGTTGGCAAGCTGGGCCTCTAATTTATATGATAGAGAAAAATATGAGAATGGTGAATAGATACATGAAAAAGAAGGAAGTTTGAACCTTGTCTTCACCAGTGTTGAAACAACCAAAGCTACATCAGTAAGGTAGCTGGAGACTGGCAGAGTGATAGAGCATGAATACATTGGAACTGGAGTCCTGCTAACACAGCAGGTCAGTGTGCAGAGCCGGCGTCTTGTGCTAGAATGCTTGGGATGGGAAACTGTAGTTGGTAATTTTTTACTCTTTTGGCTCTGCTCTGTGTGGGCCTGCCACCCAGCTCCCAAATAAATACACAGAGTCTTTTTCTTTCTGATAAATGCCCAGCCTTAGCATAGCATAACTTTTCTTAAGTTTTCCCATTTGCCTTTTGTCTCCGGGCTTTTATCTCTATTCTATATAACATTCTTTACTTCTTACTCCATGATTTGCTGTGTAGCTAGGTGGCTGTCCCTTGATGTCCCCCTCTCTTTCTCCTTTTCTCCTCGATCCTCCTCCCATTTATTCTCTCTGCCTGCCAGCCCCGCCTATCCCTCTCCTGCTTAGCTATTGGCTGTTCAGCTCTTTATAAGATCAAGTAGGAGTTTTAGACAGGCAAAGTAACACAGCTTCACAGAGTTAAACAAATGCAACATAAAATAATACAACACATCTTCGCATCATTAAACAAATGCTCTACAGCAAAAAACAAATGTAACACATCTTAAAATAATTCTAAATAGGAAACAATGAGATTACCTCTCATCTTGAACCAGGTATAAAAATTGCCTCAATATTTTTAAGAGAC